AGGTTTGCCTCTTTTTTATGGTTTAACAAAACATATCTGTGATGGAAAGACTGTAACCACAATGCTATAAACATAGGTTTAGCTAGTAAATGTTAAGTTGTTAAAAAATGTTGAGTAATTTTGAGTTCAAAATAGCTACAGAGAAGGAAGAGCAAATATGGAGCTTTTAAAGTGATATGCTGTTTTTATTTTACAACCCTGTAGGCCTAAAATGCAAATTACAATGGCATCACATAAGCTCTGCCATTTTAGGCAAATGGAGTTAAAAGGTGAACGAATGTGGTTATGATATAAAAGACTATCAGCCCCCGGCCAGTCTGGATGAATTTGTTTTTTGGATGATATTGACAGGGTCCATATTACGTTACCGTTTGTGGAAGGTGACCGTAAAATGTCCTTTGATGATGAAGGTCACTTTCTGGTTGGTCTTTGTACGGGTAGATCATTAAATGAAAAGTGATTCATTCATTGGTGTTATATTGGTTAGATTAGTTTCAGTCAGTATACTTAAGTACAGCTTAAAATTTTGTTTTGGAACCCATGGCAAACAGTGGTCAAGAGCATGAATATCGCATAGACTGTAAAACAGGATATTGGAAAAAGTTGAAAAAATTTAATTGAGAGATAGTAGACAGATGTATAAAAATAGGCTGCCATTTTACTTGTGTTACTTAAAATTCTTTTTAGTAGTACGTGGTTTGTGGTGTTGCTTAGTCAGAGTTGAAACTGCTCTCTTCTTTGCGTACGTGTTTTATGAGAGCTTCTGTACATCATTTTGAAACCTCTTCTCACTACTTAACCAACCTCTAATAAGTACATTTCACAACTGCGCCTACATTAACATTGACACCCCAAAAGGCAAGGATTGTTCTGGTGTAATTTCTTGAGCCATTTTGGTTGTGTGGCCTTGTGTCCGATCACAAAGGATGTAGGATGACATATCCTAATATCTGGGCCTCACTACAGGAGGCTGTAGACCATTACAATCTGGAAAGCCATCCGTTTCTCAATATTTCCAGCAATGATCAAAAGGCACCTGACATTATTTTGAAATACTTGAGCAATATTCTTCAGCTAACAGAATGACTATAGTTTTATCCAGTATATCCTGCTTTTCAAAATGATAATTAGTGCTGTGTCACTTCTTACCAAGGTATTCCTTTTAGTTCCTACACTTCCCTTGTTTTCTGAAGCATAGGCTTTAAGTGTGGTTTCAGACATCAACAAAAGCTGCTTCCGTCTCAGCTGGAGCTTGAGTTTGGTGTGATCAGTGAGATCTGGAAAGGGAGTCAACACTAAAAGTGCTGATTGACCAGAACTGACAAACAATTATTCCAGGTGAAAAGGGATATGTTGTTTAAACAAGGAATCCGAAACTTAGGTCATGGTATTTATTTTGCGATGGATAATTATTAGATCTTTAAACAACCCCCTCACTCCTATTCACTATGCAATTCAATCCTGAACCACCTAGGTCAGAGCACAGGACATTTATTTGGATCAGAGATGGAGGGAACAAAGCTTGACGCTACAACTCAAAACAGGACATGTGACTCAGATGTAGCATGCTGCTACTGTAGTATTTCAGAATGCATTTGTAAGTGGAGTTTGATGGACCTGATTCACATTCACCCTCTTGTTTGACTGCGGAACCCTGAGCATTGAGCACAGCTGTTTACCTTCACAGCCCATTAACATGCCAATAGTGCTTTGGAATCCACAGCTTGCAGGGGCCCATTAACAGTGCTTTTGGGCACCATTGATTATTAAGCTCCACCATGTGACTGTTTTGTGTTGGAGAAACCAAAAGCTAAGGTGAATTGCAGCACAATCATTTCTCAGTCATACTGACCTCTTTTCTTTGCTAGTGACATCTCACTAGCAAAGAAAAGTGGGATGTCAACCAGTCATAAAACTTAGTTAAAATTAAACATTGTCTACAGATAACCAGTCCACAGTTTGACTTCCTAATTTCTCTGCTTTGTCTGCTATAGGGCGAGTTGTGATGGGCTTCTGAAGAAAGACATTGCACACTGACGTAACGTGGCCTAACTGTTCTTTGTGGTGTTTTCCTGTTATCCTGTTGTCATTCGGTGAAGTCAAATTGGTGTGCAGTAGTGATTCTTTTGTAGGGGTGCGTCCAGGAAGCAGTAGTCTGTTACTAAGAGCTTCTCTTTCCAAATGTTCACATCATGGAGGTGTATAGTGTTTTGGGGAACATGGGGGGATTCCCTAGTAACTAAGTGTGATATGGGAGAGGTGTGGCTTTTCAGGGGACACAACTGTACCCAGGTTCCACGCTAATGCCTTCAGGAGAGGAATGAAACCTTAAGGCTTTCTCAGGATGCAAGAAGAAACAACATACAGTGTTCTGTGAAAATGCCCAGAACTGTTTAGCCTCAAATTAACTGCATTTTCAGAGCTGTGGAAATCATGAAAGCAGCTTTCATTAGGCGGCTTGTTTTGTACTTGTGCCTTTGGTCGTTGTATCTGTTATATGAGCACAGATTGTGCTAAAGCACTGTTTTAACAGCTAGTCCAGCATTTCTATTGTTTCTGTCCTCCTCTCCCTTTAAGGGTGTCTGGTCCTGGTGCCTTGTGCTTAATTGTTTATAAGATTTTGCCGTCAGGGCTGTGTTTAGAAATGAAACCTACAACTCTGAGTATTCTTTATTTTGATTAAAGGGCCTCTCATTTGTAGAGTCAAAGTTCACCCCGCCTGAAGTGTTGTTCAAGGATTGAGAACGATGGAGCTGTTGATAAGAGTTAATTAATTGGTTTTCTTTCATTAGCTCTTAAGGTAATCCAAATAGCAAATAAATTGAAAATATAAGGGAATCAAATGAATAAATGAAAAATCGTATTTGAGGATGACTGGTGAGTTAAACCAGATCACCCCATGAGAAGACTTCCCTTGCCCTCTCACCAGGGGAATGAGTCTTCCTTCAGAGTGCAGATCACACATCTGAGGACATATCCTCGCAGGTCAGAGCCCATCAGGACTGTGGTACTTTTCAATGAAAAGCATGTTGCAGTGATTTTTGTTTTGCCCCAAGGCCATGCAGCATATAAACAGTTTTGTACCAGACCTTACAAGGCAGTAAAGTATCTTTACCCTGGTTTGGCTGATCAGGCTAGCTTTTCCATTTCCTGTCTGCTGGCCTTTCTCGGGGTTATATACCCACCATGAGAGAGAGAGAGAGAGAGAGATCAAGGTTTCATCTCTTTCCCTGGCATCTGGAAACCAGCAGAAATTCCAGGGCATCTAAAGTTCCGAATGTCTCTGCACCTGCAAGAAGTGATAAAATGGTTTAGTTAAGGTTTAATTGGTTCAGTATATACCTCCTCTGTTTGGCTAAAGCTGCTGACAATTAAAAGAGACATGGAAGACCTCCTGGATTCTGAATATCCATGTCTGGGGCGTGGAGCATGACTGCTTCATGGCAAGAGTTGTGTGCACAGCCAGGCTTGGGATGTGCTCCTCATGCAAACAGCAGCTCCAGTAGGCCAGCCAACTGCTCCACTGCTCTTGGGGTGCTGGGGAATGATGTCACTGTGGTAGTCTCATCTTCCACTACGAGACCTATTTACATCAGCATCCTTCTCCTGCATGTGAAGTGTTTTAAAACTGGAGTGAACACAGTAGCTGTTCTTAGATAGTCTTAGATACACAGTACAGGGAGATGAACAGTGTTTGCATAGTGATGACCATTCCAAATGGACATCAGTCATGGTTTTGCTTCAGTTATTCAGGCTCATTGGGTTTTGGATTGCTTCTGTGTGCTTTGTTACTTCTGAGTTTTCCAATCCTATCAAAGATTCAGGTATCTCATTTATGATGTTGACACCATTGTTGCACATGCTATTGAGTGCTGTTGCCTTTGGAGAAGTTAATTGCTGAAAAGCTCAGATGTTCAGAATTCAAGCTGATTTTATAAGATAACATGAAGCATGAAACCAAAAAGCCCATTGGCTGGAACTGACACAGGAGCAGGGTGAAAGCAGGACATTTCTTTTGAGATGAAATATTACAAATAATGTAATTTTGTGATTTAAATTAAGGTGATGGGTGGCACAGAGGTGTGAGTGTACATATCTGCAATTGTGTGTATTTCTTGTGATGGACTGACGTCCTGTCCAGAGTGTATCCTGCCTATATTGGATAAAGCAGTTAGACAATGGATGGATGGAAAATAAAGTGATATCTAGAACTATGAATTAGTTATATAGCAAACATTTCAGAGTGTCTCATGCAATCTAGGGGGTTTGAACTAAGCCTCATTGATTGTACTAACGGTACCACCTCGGTTTTATATCTCCCCAAACGTATGGAGCGAGTTCAGGGTGACTTACATGCAGTGAGAGGGTTTTGAACCAGCAATCTCCTAGTTACAATTCTTCAACCTTTTATGGACAGTTGGAACTTGAAAAAGTCTTCAAACTCTGAATCTGAGCTTGTGGTCTGGCAAGACTGCAAAGGCCATATGACTGCAGAATGGATGTGGTCACTGGCCAGATGTGCCACTAAATAAACTGAACCTTTTTTTATGTGAATGGAAAAATGCTTTTTGAGTTTCAGCACACTTTTTGTCAATGATTGTGTAGGTCATAGCTTGTAGTGGAATTATTATTCTGACTTATCATGCTTGCAAAATGTACAAAACTGAGAATTTTATGTATCTAATAAAACATATACCCAACTTTTATACACCAGTCACTTGACATACATTCATATATTCATATATTCAACATCGGTGCAGAGAGAACTGTAGGGATATCTAACTCCCACTGCCTGTAAATATTGTTGTACAATTAAAACTATAAAAAAATATACTTTTGTTTGAAAGGAAACAGTATTTAAGCACAGCTTGTTTTTTTACACAAAAAAAATCAGGCCATAATGGGTTAATCACTGGGGTTGTCTAGCTCTCTGTGGTCTGTGTGTATAGTTCCCAGTTTGCAGGAATAAACCCGTCTATGTCTCTCTCGTCTCTTGGCAGACATTCACAGCCTGGTGCAACTCCCACCTGCGGAAGGCCGGGACGCAGATTGAGAACATCGAGGAGGATTTCCGGGACGGGCTGAAGCTGATGCTGCTTCTGGAAGTCATTTCAGGTATCGAATTTCCACCACCCTTGCCGACGTTTGCAGAAAATTGTGAGTCTTAAGACCCAAGCTCTCGGAATCCAGTTTTTATTTGTCACCTAGCGTTCCCCCAAAAAGTGGCAAACGAGCTGAGCACCACCTGAGGTAGATTAATGGGCCAGGGCTCTCTCAGTGACTCCCAGGACTTCCTCAGCATCTGAAGACTTGCAGTGACATCACTGGCGCCCCTCTAGTCAGCTGTCCCTCTCCTGCCAGGTGCTATAGAGCTTGCAGTGTGTGAAAAGGAGGTTTGCGTAGGCAACTTTCTCTTCCTGCAGCTACAGGAATTGTTGCCAGACAGTCAAGTCATACAACAACAGGGAAGGTATATAACAAAAAAAAAAAATAACTGGCAACTTCAGATTTGAAAGGGTGGGTGGTGTATCAAGTAGAGTTTTTTAAAAACCTTTCTCCTGCAGTATTTTGTTTGAAGGCGACAAGGTGATGTCTTTTTTTATCAATCAATGCCAGGAACACAGTTTGTTGCAGGAAAAATGTGAAATTAATGGAAGTAAATCCATTTTGTACCTAAGATTTATGGGACTGATTTCATATCCTATACACAGGACATGGTGCTCTTTGTGCCTAAATCAATTAGAGCAACATTTCCCTTGTTAGGAAAGCTGTTACAGCGTTATGTAATAAGGCCAGTGAAATAAATCAGACCAGCGACCCACAAGCTGGTTAACTTTATGAACATCTGCCTTTTGCTCTCCTAAAATTGAGCAGTCAAAGGTCAAATTAAATGGAGAATGAAACCATATGGAAAAAGTTAAAACCAAAATACTTGCATGTCAGTTTCTACCAATTATCATCAGTAATGTTTCTCAGAAGATGGTGCTTCAAAGACCAGATTTAGTGGCTGTATAAACATACAGCTATCTCTAGATTTAATCAACAATGATAAACAAGCATCATGCTCATCAAAACTCAACCATTGACCCTCAGGGAAGAGTTGGACTTTTTACCAATGTTTTTCAGTGGCGACTGTAATTCAGTATATCAGTTTGATTGAAGGTGTTGTTTTGGCTTCATGGGGATTATTTTCAGTACACAGTAAATTAATAAATAAAACGCTGTGTCTTCTTTGATATTGGAGCTGTTTTGGATGCTGGATGTTTGTGAATTGAAAGGGAGATTGTGTGAATGATAAAGGGCAATAGGATGTGCTCTTCAGCTGGACTCTTGCTATGGTAAAGGTACACGTGAAGTGAGATAGATATCCCTAGCCCAGAAAGCCACATCTAAGGAAAATCAGAGGTTGCTCTGACTCTACAGGGACAGGATTTGCCATATCCCTGACTATCCCTTGTTTTTGCTAGTGGCACATGATGTCCATTTAAACCTTTTTTTGTGGTTGTGTAGCTTTAATAAACCTAAAAGACAGTTAATTACAAAGAAGTACTCTTCTGTTATACAAGTTTTGCCCATATCCCTGTTTTGTTTTTAATTTAAATCTGACAAATTAAAGCTGGAAAATGACACTCGCTGCTCCTCTGCCCTCCTCCTAAGTTTCATATTTAACTGTTTTATTCCTACTGTTACTTAATGCTGAGTTTCCCCAGTCCCGCTCCTGGAAGCTCACATTCCTGCTGAGCTTAATTACCTAATTAAAGCCTTATTTTAATTAGCTAGTTGCTTGTGTGGAATATTTGCAAGTTTTTTCTACTCTGAGGTTTGTAGTTTTAAATTCTGAAATGTGTTGGGGGGGAAAAACACCTACTCACATCTAGAAGAGCTGGAAACAGCTCACACTAAATCTATTGTTAAGTCAGTTAAAGGTACAGTTGTGTACCTGAGAGCTTGGTTGGAAAACTAAGAAACCAGCAGGTGTGTGGGACTCCAGGACTAGGATTGGGAGCCCCTGGTGTAATACTCTTCATTAGACATGTTTGCCTCTAATATAACAAGAGTTCCTTAGACATTATTTTGTTTTGCTAAGAAAACATCCTGTGGATTCGAAATCTCCTTTACTCATTAAAAAGATTCCTGGATGGAAATGACACATTTTCTTTTTTGTTAGGAGTGCAGAGATCACAGGGGCAGGGAATTATAGAAAACAGAAGCCGAAAAAAACGTGGAAGACATATTTTTAATTTTATTTAGAGACTCACTGTTGTGGGAAATTCTTCATCAGAGGAGCAGGATTCAGTTTTATTGAGCTCAATAAGTCTAACAACACCCGCTGGGTCTTCCCCACAGAACAGACAAACTTCAAGGGTTTCCCAGCTCTTATATACAGTCAAAATAAACTTTATTTCACAGTCTGAGTGCTTGTCCTGTTCTTTGATATGTAATTACTCCTTGTCCTACTCTGTCTTGCTCTAGGTTTTGTCCATTGATATGCAGCAGACATTGTTCTGCTTTGTCCTGTTTGTGGGTGTTGTTCCCATCTTTTATTATATTGCGTTAAATCACTGGGGCTGCTAAAGCAAGTCAGCTTTATGGCATCTTAGCATCATTTTTGTTGAAGGCTAAATTTACAGACCTCAGCAACACCTCAGACAATGTCCTTAAACGGTGATATTGTGATGCTGGATAAGTGAGATGTATACATGTCCCACTTCACTCACTGCGTCTCCTATTTTTATTTCTTTGCGTACAGGAGAGCGTCTGGCCAAACCAGAGAGAGGGAAGATGCGAGTTCACAAGATCTCCAACGTTAACAAGGCCTTGGACTTCATCGCCAGCAAAGGAGTTAAACTGGTGTCGATTGGAGCAGAGGGTAGGTTTGTGCACTGCTACGGTCCCTGTCTGGCCAAGGAGAGGATGTCCTGCTTCAACAGCTGTCAGATTAAATTTCACAGAAAAAAAACATTTGCTTTTTCACCTCCCCATGTCCAGAACTGCTTCCTCAAGAGAATATGCTAATGTCGATTTTACTGGCAAAAAAAGACCCATTAGAGATGGAGACTGATTCATGACAAGCTTCTTATCCATTTGCTCAAAGCAATGGGCTAGAGCACAATGGCATTAACAGCTGCTGCTGCAGTCATCTGGCGGTATCTCAGATTGGCAATTTATCAGGGGGACACGACAGAATAAGCTTCACGGTAATGTGCAGGAAGAAATGGTGTTTGAGCCAGGAATCTGCTATTCCTTAGCCACTGGTCTGGTATGCAGTCAATTTGTTGTACACTTTTCATTACCAGCATTTCATCACCAGTCTTTCGTCACCAGAGGCAATTCATCACCAGCTTCTCATTATCAGCATTTCATAAGCAGCTGGTCTTCACTGGCAAAATTTCTCCTCCTGTTTCATAACACTACGGCCTCACTTCCGACTCCCTCCCCCCCTTCTCCACTGTCCAGATGAAATCTGTAGAAAGGGAAAAACTTATCCGTGTCCGTCTCCACCTTTCCTGCGACAGGCGGAAAGCTGGTGTGAGGTGTCTCTTCCCATAATGTTCATTGTTTACCATACACCAAACATGTGAGGACAATTTTTCTTTTATAGGTGCCGGGGCTTTGGAGACGCCCTGTATCGGCAGTGTGCCAACTCTGCGCACACGTACAGTAATTAAGCTCCTAAACTCGGACGACCCTGGTCTAAATTTGCTTAAGGTCACAAGTGAAATGCCTGATGGCTTGTCAGCTGCTCCTGCAGTATGGCTTTTATTTAATTGATATGATTGAAGGCTTTTTTGTCTCGGAGTGCACCAGCAATCAATTCCATGGACCTGGACTTTTTGTCATTGTTCTGTATCTTTGGCAGATGTCTTTATCCAAGTCAACTCGCAATTGTATGGGGTTAACAAAATCAGTGTTCAAAATTAGGGTTAGGTATTAAATATTACAGTATTGATACTTTTACAAGAAAAAAATTAAAACCATTAAATTGACATTTGCAATTACAGAAGAACATTTTACAGTGGCTTGATGACATTTAAAATCTCCAGTCTAAATGATCAGCATTAAAGATCAGTCATGCACAATGTAGTACAAATTGCAGCAGTGCAGTTATTCACCTTAGCAAGGAGATGGAAGGCAGATGCATTGCTTAAAAAATGCCCCTCTTTTGGGATAAAATATATGTATTACCTGTAAGTTTACCTATAAGGTATGACTGATAGTCCAAGGGCCACTGAAGTAAAATATTGCCCAGTGTCAGAATATATTTTTATTTCAGTCCTTGACAAAAAAAAAAACAAATCTTAGGTGCATGTTTCCTAACAGGCTACTAAAACTTTTGGGGACTGAAATGAAACTGAAAACTGGATGCAAACAATTTTCATGTACAAACTTGGCTTAAACTTCTGTTTTCATTCCACTTTAAGTGAAAGTTTTCCAAATTACCAATGCAAAAAGACTCTGCTGTTTTCTCTCCATTTCGTCAGGTGTCCTGTGTTTATCGGGATTATTTGAATGAATGGGACACTTGCTGTATAAATGACAATAAGTATTTTCCGACTTGTGAAGAAAGTGCAAGACCATTAATCACGTGCTTTGCAATTCTCTATCTTACTGTATTTACTGCACTGGATCTTGCAGGAAAGTCTTTGCCTGATGACAGTATCTCTCATCAAGAAATTCATCTGTTCACAGGCCAGCTTATGAAAGGGTAACAATATGACACTGTGTGTTTCCTCTCCACATTTTGGATTAGAAGATCTCTTCAAAGTCAGTTGAGCAAGCTTTCATCCAAGGAAATGCTGTCATTGCTTATTTCTGGAGTTCTGTAGAAATCTATGGAGTTGCAGAAATAAGCCCTTTCCCTCTGTGTCTCCGATTGATTCTGTTGAAGATTTCTGTCCTAGGTTGGAGGAGTTCTTAGTATACATAGTGTCAGATAAGAGACATATTACACGTCATGAATTGTGTTGTTAAAAAAGTGTGAATAACACTTGTTGGATGTGAAGGGTGTCGCGCTTGTCTGCATCTGTATTTAATGGAGTTTCTTTGTGAAGTGTTGACAGGCTCCAGGCAGGAATTAACATGGCACCTGGGTTCAGACCCTGCTGTCAGTATTCCCCAAGTGGATTTGTGGCTGATAGGGTTATTGGGATTAAAGCCACGAGCCCAGATTTTCTAATTAACTGTTTGTGGGATCTGGCTGTGGGGGCTGAAGTGAAGGGGTTAATCTGTTCAACCTAGCCTCCATTAGCTTGCCCAGGCTCTGTTGGTTAATCTGGACTGAGGCCAAAATAAAGGGGACTAAGCCAGTGCCACATTCCAGACA